CCATTACCTGTTAATCATTTAGTAAGTCACACTATACCTGCACATGTACATGAATGTATAAAAACAGGTTTTGAACTTTTTTACATTTTCTGATACATATTGATGTACTTATGCTGTGTAGAAAGTTTGAACTGATTCCGACTTAAATTTTTGAAGTTATGAGCACTTTTTAAAAACGGCCAATTTTTGAAAAATACCCAAAGCTTTAGCCCAGTTGAAAAGGGAACAGAGCCCTTAAAAAAATTTATTATGAAAAAGGGTAGAAATAAACATGTAGGTTAAGGAAAGGAATATACAAAACAAAGAACAGGTTAAAGATTGTTTAAGGTAAAGAAAGATACACAAAGTGATAAGGAAAAATAATAATAATAATAATATTGATAATAATAATAATAATAATAATAATAATAATAATAATATTGATAATAATAATGATAATGATAATAATAATAATAGAATAAAAATTTAAAAAGGAATAAATCTAAGAAATACCAATGTGGGCATCAGAGGCCGCTCTGTCAAAATCTGAATAGTCAACTACTTTGCCACGATGCCGGGTACCCCTTATACAGCGAATTGCAGACCGAAGGATAGTGAATGAATATTGGCAGCGAATGAAATTCATTGTTGAGTGGTAGGGTCTGTTAAATTTGTCAGCCCATAGTTTTTTCAGAAAAATGGCTCCGAAATCACCCCCAATTTTTATTACATTTTCTGATACATATTGATGTACTTATGCTGTGTAGAAAGTTTCAGCTGATTCCGACTTAAATTTTTCAAGTTATGAAAATTTTTTAAAAAGGACCAATTTTTGAAAAATTCCCAAGGCTATAGCCCATGGTTACTTTGGAAAAATGGCTCTGAAATCACCCCCAATGTTTATTACATTTTCTGATACATATTAATGTACTTATGCTGTATAGAAAGTTTGAGCTGATTCCGACTTAAATTTTTCAAGTTATTAGTACTTTTTTAAAATGGCCAATTTTTGAAAAATACCTAAGGCTATAGCATATGGTTTTTTTTAGAAAAATGGCTCCAAAAACACCCCCAATTTTTATTACATTTTCTGATACATATTGATGTACTTATGCTGTGTAGAAAGTTTCAGCTGATTCCGACTTAAATTTTTCAAGTTATAAAAATTTTTTAAAAACGACCAATTTTTGAAAAATTCCCAAGGCTATAGCCCATGGTTATTTCGGAAAAATGGCTCTGAAATCACCCCCAACTTTTATTACATTTTTTGATACATATTGATGTACTTATGCTGTGTAGAAAGTTTAAACTGATTCCGACTTATATTTTTTAAGTTATGAAAAAATTTTTAAATGGCCAATTTTTAAAAAATACCTAAGGCTTTAGCCCATGGTTTTTTCAGAAAAATGGTTCCAAAATCACCCTTAATTTTTATTACATTTTCTAATACATATTGATGTACTTATGCTGTGTAGAAAGTTTGAACTGATTCCGACTTAAATTTTTCAAGTTATGAACATTTTTTAAGATGGCCAATTTTTGGAAAATACCCAAAAATTTAAGTGAAAATCAACTCAAACTTTTTACACAGCATAAGTACATCAATATGCCCAGGGTTTTTTTGGAAAAATGGCTCCGAAATCACCCACAATTTTTACTATATTTTCTGATACATATTGATGTACTTATGCTGTGTAGAAAGTTTGAACTGATTCCGACTTATATTTTTTAAGTTATGAAAAAATTTTTAAATGGCCAATTTTTTAAAAATACCTAAGGCTTTAGCCCATGGTTTTTTTGGAAAAATGGCTCCGAAATCACCCACAATTTTTACTATATTTTCTGATACATATTGATGTACTTATGCTGTGTAGAAAGTTTGAACTGATTCCGTCTTAAATTTTTAAAGTTATGCATGAGCATTTTTTAAAAGCAACAATTTTTTTAAAGTATGGACTTTTGCTCATGTTTTTTTTCACATCCAGAAATTACTATTATTTTTATTATATTTTCTGATGCCTAGTATTATCATGGTATCTTTATTCTCCTTCTCTTCTTCCTTTCTCTATTTAGAAACGTAACGATGCTCAGCCTAGAAAGACTCCTTGTG